TTGAAGCCGATCAGAAGTCATTCTCCAGTCATGGCACGGATTCCAACGATTCGATTTTTTATCTATTTTACTATATTGACATATTTGCCCGCACATCAACAAAACTTAATAGGTACTACGCTGGCCATAAGCTGCATCAGCTGTTAGATAATGAAGACGTTCAGAAGAAGTAACATGAAATTAATTGAATGCGATTTAACGTGAATAAAAAAAAGTTAACAGAGCTATTCCAGAATTATTTGAATTATTATATAAGCAAATTACCTGCATGAGGTTTACAGGGTATTACCTGAATTATTACATGTAAGTGATTTAGGTGAGAAAAGTAGGTCTCAGGAATGTAACCCCCTCGATGCCCACTCCCTATCACTCACAAAAAGCTAGACCTGACATTAAATTAATAATTACAATATTAAAACCAGCTACTCTGGTAAATTAAAGTTGTGGACTGTATATGATTAGGCTTGCTGGGTACACCTAATTGACACCTAGACCCTACACTGGCTAGTTAGAGATCTAAATGAAAGGGCTAATGGTGCACTTCCCTGTGACGGTCATATCCCTTATCTTCCGCCATCAACACGTAATTCTTGAGGTCCCGCAAATTTCCTGTACCAATTCTTCAGAAGAGAAACATTAACAAGGGTTCCTATTACAAATTCAGGCCGAAAAATACCCAGTTTGTCCATAAAGATGCAGGATTATTAGGTGAATTTTCCATAACAACCAGTGCCCACAAATTATAAATGGCGTCTCCCCGTTTGCGTCACTCTGCAGCTGTTCTACACCCCCCTCACTCGAAATTTCTCGAATGGGTCAAATCACCATCATATTTTATTATGCAATTATTGTTTTATTCAAATTTACACATGCTGAATTTAGGAAAATCCAAAATTCTCCACAAGAATGCTGGAAATTTGTTTAATAATTTTGGTTATAGAGCACCTGCACATGCCAATTCTCGAAAGAATTTGATACCCATTACCAAACACAAGCACTGAAAATTCTAAGCCGATCGGATGAGGCGTTCTTGAGTTATGAGCGACAGAAAAAAAAATTGGACAAAAAAAAATGGCACCCAGTTAAAGGTCCCACTTTGGGACATAAATCTGCAGGTAGGAAAGTGTGTTCCATGTCATGCATACTAACATAATACTGCACTAGTTTGGCTTATATTTATTAAAGCATACACAAGCAATAGCTAATAGCTACGTCTTAGTATCTTAAAAGTATTTTAAATACCGCAGCATAAGTAATATTATTTGTTTAAGACAAACATGGGACACTTACCCATACAAGATACAAAGAAAGTGTAATTCCAATGGAAACAATGTTATTTAGTTTTGTTAGGTTATCCGAGGTTCATTTTTCATAATGCATCACCACCATGTAATTATAATAATGAGATTAAGGTAATTATTGTACAAGTTAGAAACAGCATTCAGTAAAACACCTTTATTTAAGCTAAATAAAGATTATTTTTCTGGTGTTCTTAAAATGGGGTTTTAGGCTGACATGTCTCTCACTTCAAAACATGAAAATATATTATATATATATATATATATATAAAAATATATTATAATATATATATATATATATATATATATATATATATATATCGTGCCGAATATGTAAAGCTGGTCAATTAGCAAGAACTCATTTAAAATTAAGTCCTTTCTAAAATTTTCTCTTATACGTTTAAAGATATAGTTTTTTCATTAATGTTGACGTAAAAAATTTTAATTTTGCACCAGAAGGAACTTAGAAAACTTACCTAACCTTATTATAACAAGAGCAATTTATTTTAGCCTAATCCAACTAAATATATTTTAGATTTGTTTACAATAATTTAATACTAAACAAACACAGTGAAATATATTTTTTTCGTTAGGTTCAGAATGATTTTGGCGAAATTATTACATACACCAATTTTCACTTGTCCTATATAGCAAGATGAACGTTGCTATTTAAGCCAAGATCGGAAGTTCTGCCTATTCGGCACGACATATATATATATTATGTATGTATAGTATATATATATATATATATATATATATATATATATATATATATATATATATATATATAATTATATATATATATATATATACTACAGACTCTGGCCATACAATAGAGCGGAAAAATAATGTAAGGGACCTGGGAGTAGTAATGTCTGAGGATCTCACTTTCAAGGATCACAACAGTGCCACGATCGCACGTGCAAAGAAAATGATAGGATGGATAATGAGAACTTTCAAAACGAGAGATGCCAAGCCAATAATGATCCTTTTCAAATTACTTGTTCTCTCTAGGCTGGAATACTGCTGTACATTAACATCTCCATTCAAAGCAGGTGAAATCGCAGATCTAGAGAGTGTACAGAGATCCTTTACTGCACGTGTAAGTTCTGTCAAGCACCTTAACTACTGGGAACGCTTGGAAGCACTTGACTTGTACTTGTTGGAACGCAGGAGGGAGAGATATATCATAATCTACACTTGGAAAATCCTGGAAGGAATGGTCCCAAATCTGCACACACAAATCGCTCCCTACGAAAGTAAAAGACTGGGCAGGCGATGCAAAATGCCCCCAATAAAAAGTAGGGGTGCCATTGGTACACTAAGGGAAAACACCATAAGTGTCCGGGGCCCAAGACTGTTCAACAGCCTCCCATCAAGCATTAGGGGAATTGCCAATAAGCCCCTGGCTGCCTTGAAGAGAGAGCTGGACAGATACCTAAAGTCAGTGCCGGATCAGCCGGGCTGTGGCTCGTACGTTGGACTGCGTGCGGCCAGCAGTAACAGCCTAGTTGATCAGGCCCTGATCCATCGGGAGGCCTGGTCATGGACCGGGCCGCGGGGGAGTTGATCCCCGGAATAACCTCCAGGTAACCTCCAGGTATATATATATGTGTGTGTGTGTGTGTGTGTGTGTGTGTGTGTGTGTGTGTGTGTGTGTGTGTGTGTGTGTGTACTCACCTAATTGTGGTTGCAGGGGTTGAGGCTCAGTTCCTGGCCCCGCCGCTTCACTGAACGCTACTAGGTCCTCTCTCTCCCTGCCCCATGAGCTTTATCATACCTCATCTTAAAGCTATGTATGGTTCCTGCCTCCACTACCTCACTTGCTGGACTATTCCACTTCCTGACGACTCTATGACTGAAGAAATACTTCCTAACATCCCTTTGACTCATCTGAGTCTTCAACTTCCAAGTGTGACCCCTTGTTTCTGTGTCCCCTTTCTGGAACATCCTATCTCTGTCCACCTTGTCTATTCCACAGCAGTATTTTGTATGTCGTTATCATGTCTCCCCTAACCCTCTTGTCCTGTGTGTGTGTGTGTGTGTGTGTGTGTGTGTGTGTGTGTGTGTGTGTGTGTGTGTGTGTGTGTCGTGCCGAATAGTAAAACTGGTCAATTATCAAGAACTCGTTAAAAAATAAGTCCTTTCCAAAAAAAATTTCTTATACGTTGAAAGATATATTTTTTCATTTATGTTAGTGTAAAATATAATAGTTTTGTATTAAAAGAACCTTAGAAAACTTACCTAACCTTATTACAAGCTCAATTTAATTTAGCCTAATTCAACTAAATATATTTAAGATAAGTTTACACTAATTTAATAATAAACAAACACAGTGGCATATATTTTTTTCGTTAAGTTCAGAATGATTTTTGCGAAATTATTGCATACACAAATTTTCGCTTCCCTTATTCGTCAAGAAGAGCGTTGCTATTTAAGCCAAAATCCAAGTTTTACCTATTCGGCACGACATATATATATATATATATATGTCGTGCCGAATATGTAAAACTGGTCAATTAGCAAGAACTCATTTAAAATTAAGTCCTTTCTAAAATTTTCTCTTATACGTTTAAAGATATATTTTTTTCATTAATGTTAATGCAAAAATTTTTAATTTTGCACCAAAAGAATCTTAGAAAACTTACCTAACCTTATTATAACAAGACACAATTTAATTTAGCCTAACCAACTAAATGTATTTAAAATAGTTTACACTAATTTAATATATAAACAAACACAGTGAAATATATTTTTTTCGTTAGGTTCAGAATGATTTTTGCGAAATTATTGCATACACAAATTTTCGCTTTCCTATATGGCAAGAAGAGCGTTGCTATTTAAGCCAAATCCAAGTTTCACCTATTCGGCACGACATATATATATATTATAAAATAATATATATATATATATATATTATATATATATATATATATATATATATATTATAATAAAATAGTACTTATATGAATATATGACTACAATTATTTAGAATATATAAAATTCTTTATTGACCATGGGAAAATATTTACGGTAATAACTTTATACCGAAGCCAATTAAAATTCGCACAAACAAAAATTAATTTAGACAATATAAAAACATTCTTTGCAATAACTGTATGTGGTTCGACCAAATAATGATAGTGATTTCGTGGAAATTTAACCCGTGAGGTTAGCACCCAGGAAAGCCAGAGGTCAGTGCAAGTCATCAGGCAACTAATCTCATGCCTTAAATATTGTCCAGATGTAGACATGACTATAAGGTACGATTTCTTTGGTGAACGGACAAGTTAAGGAACGTGTGGTTTCGCGGACCGGCCTGGTGAGAAGCAGCTTTAGACACCAGGCCACCGGGCCATTAACTCCATTAACTATGTTATGCGAGTTTACATGCACCTATAAGAATTATATACTGTATATGGATACATAAACATTGGGATGTCGCAAATTTGTATTGAAAAATGTTCCCCAGTGGTAAAATATTCAACTCATCGTCCAACCTGGCGCAACTTGCACACTCCCGGGGCCCCAACAATATATTATCAACATTTATTTTGCAAACATCTCTTACACAGATTCAGAAAAATAAAATCCACGAATACGTAAAAAACCATTTCTACATCGAATCTCGTAAGTACGATGGATTAAATGTACTGTAATACGGTAAATAGTTAGAGAAAGTTATGTAGTGTCATAAAGTGCGGGTGGTGCGTGGAGCCACCTAGCGGGCCACATATATACTTGAGGAGGCTGACGTCAGCCATCTTCCGCCACCAGTTGGTCCTTTTTGGCGTTACCAGCACACGCCTCCACTGTGTCCTATAATCTGTGAATTCGACCAACAAACATCCAAGATGGTGAGTGTTCTAGCCTGTTCTAAATATCACCAACTTGTTCGTTATTCATCTGGGCATGTGTTGTAGGCATTATTTAAGGGATTTGGCTGAAGATTATTGTTCAGGACTTGTTAAATGTGAGATGTCTTTGTAGGGCGGCGGTGTTGTCAGTGGCCAGCACCCTACTCGACCGGTGTATGTTTGCCATGATTTTTTTTTTTTATCGCTTCTAAGTCTCTGCTAATAAAAGTAACTGAATTTGTGTATCCTAGAGGTTAAACTAGCGACAACTATAATTTTTCTCTGACTTAATTATTTTTTCTTTTGCTCCATCTGGTTGGCTCTCTACTCCAGATTTAAGATTTTTTTTAAAGTAGACCTTGACATACCACTGTTCTATAAGTGTATATTTTCCCGAAAGTTGTGTGGAACCATTAAATTGTACGATAATAAGTTCAAGATTTGCGCATGGCTGTGAAAATTAAATTTCGCCAGTGCCCTAGATAAAGTTTATCAATATTTTAATTAATGGATACAGAAAGTGCATTAACATTTTAATTTAATGGGTTAGGTAATTGTGAATACGAAATTGGTATATTAAATCATTAAACAAAAATTCTTTGGTATTTTATGAAAGAGTAGGCAGCAAGTGCGTAGTAATATTTAATGCCCATATCCTGGGGAATTAAATAATTCCCTGGAGGTTAAGTATTGCAATATCGCTACCGGTGTGTGATGGGAGTAATATATGAAGGTAGGCAATGGAAGAGATTGCAGCTGTTTATTGATCACTGGTGGTGGGTGGGGGAGCTGGCTCACCTACTGAAGCTTTCACACTACCACATAACATCAACTTTGTCTTAGAATTCTATTGTCTTTTAATGTTTTAAGTTAGTGGGAAAAAAAATAAAAAGATTGCAAGTATGGGTTACACCAGAGGTTTTAGGAAAGTATACTACTACAGGTATATAGCATCCCATTTTCTTGTTTGGCAGATTAAGTTAGCAGTTTGAAGAACTTAAACTGCATAATGATTGAAAACATAAGGAGCACTGCAGAAGGCCTACTGGCTTATGCATACGTATTGACATTTCTGGCAAGATTTTTTTTTCCACCTTACCTCGGTGGGAGACAGTTGTTACTTAAAAATAAGAAAAATAAAGTGAAGCAATCCCGGCCTACTTACCCATGCTACTCTTCCAACTATTGCCCGTGTATATACTCTAGTACTTGTCTAAACTATTTATTTTTAAGCTACACAAAGTTTGATATTAAGTAGTTGAGTTCATTTTACTCATAAAACCAGCGCTTTCCTATGGCTTTCTAAATAGAAATTTGAAGTAATTTATTGTTGCAAACCTATTCTTGGCATGTATGTTTTGCAGTTTTCCATATGTACACTTTATTCCTATTTACTGTGTCTTTGGAGAAGTCACATTTTAGGTTTTCATTCCATCTGAGGATAGGTTTGATGCAGGATTAACATTTTCAGGCTATGTATTCCTGCACATTAACTCCTTTCACTATTGCATCTCTTGAAATTAAGTGATATGAGGACATAAGAAGGAACACTGCAGCAGGCCTACTGGCCCATGCGAGGCAGGTCTGAAATGGTAATTGCACTTAAACGGGAAATTTTATGTAAAATTTATGTAATTATGTAGGTGCAAAGTTAGCAGTCGGGGAGCAGTTAACACTGGTATTATCACTGACATTGAATCTCATTTTAAGCTGAATAGGAAAGCATATTGTTTTGGCTAGTATGCCTTTCATTTAATTCAACACAAGTAACTGCTCATTTAATTATCAGGACTAACCCATAACGTTCACAAGTTGGTAATTTGGCTAATTTTACAAAAATTTTAAATTAAAAGAAGGGCATTCTAGCCACTGAAGCACATTTCTTTTGTTCATTAGTTTCCTAGAGTGTCTCCATTTTGAACAGTAATAAAATACTGTTAGGCACAAAAAGCCACTTGTGCAATTCAGTTTTCATAAGACTGGAGGAACATTGCAGCAGTTGTACTGGCCCATGCAAGGCAGGTCATAATCAAACCCATGCCCACTTAAAAATATTTGCCCAACCCATGTTCATTTCTACCTGAGGAATAAGCTTTGATAACCCTGTTAACATGTATGCAAGTCCCACTTAAGTCCAACCCCTCACTCGCTTATTTAACCTAGCTGACATCAGTGATGTACTACTATATAGAAAGCCCCTCATTATGCAGAGCATTTCAGGTAAATTAGGTTTTTGTCCCCAGTATGCGACCCCACACCAGTCGACTAACTCCTAGGTACCCATTTTACTGATGGGTGAACATAGACAACTGGTGTAAAGAAACGCTCCCAAAGTTTCTACCCACTCTGGGAATCAAATGCAAACCCTCGCCGTGTGAAGCTAGAGCTTTAGCTATCAGGCCACAGGGCACTGGGGCAAACTGTTCACTTATCTGCTCTTCCCAAACAAATATTTTCTTATAACCTTTCTAAATCTAAACTTATCCAATTTGAAAACATTATTTCAGGGATATCCTCAAGATCTTATCTCCTTTGATAATAATTCATTTTTCACTTAAATAGTGTGTGTTCATTCTTCATCTTACAGCAGAAGACATGCATGAGTGGGTGAGAATTGGACCTGCCTAGCATGGGCCTACTGGCCCATGCTAGGCCCTATGTCAGTTGTCCTCCCATTCTTGTGTACAAATTATTAGCTATTTTGCTAGTATTACTTCTATTTCATTGATTGAGCACAAGAAATTGTCCAATCAACTATTTCAACTACCCAATAAAGTGATCAGAAATTGGTTATTTGGCCAATTTCACACAATTCTAAACACGGCTTCTCCTTGCTTAGCAACTTACTCGTTTAGACAACTCAAGCTTACAACAGGCTCTGACCAGCATGCATACCTAAATAATGTATATCAGAGCTGATTTCCTCTGTTCCATTTATTATAATATACCATACACTACTGTATAAACATTTAAAAATATACATAGTAAAAATATAAATGATGCAAAAGGTGACATTAAAACAATATTGAAGATGGTTGAAATAACCCACTACCATTATAGTATGCACCTCGCTTAGCGACGAATTCGTTTACCAACGTGGTCTTAGGAATGGAACTCCGTTGTTAAGTGAGGAGAGGCAGTATTTCAATTTCAGAATAGTTGACAATAAACAGTGCAGGCATTCCTGGCACTAAAATAACATTTCCTCTGTTTATTAGTTGTTTCCAGGCTTTACAAATGAATTCCATTTTTATTTTTTATTTATGTAATGAAATTTTATTCACACAAATATTTACTGTTATGCAATATTGTAATAATTGTATAAATAATATCGGTGAATTCATGAACACGCATTACACCCACCAGATGATGTATTGGACTCATGACTTCACTTATTTACTCTTGAACATCTGCAAAAATTGGATATTTTTGCTACCTTGAGCTCAGTTTCAAGCCATTTTCAGTATTAAAGCCAGTGAAAATTCTCTTATTTCTGTAATATCTTCCACTCTATCAAATGAGACCAAGAAACTGTGAGTACATTGTTATGCATTGTGTGCTGCAGGATTTTTTATATTCTGCACACTTGCCACACAAATGCATTCTCTTGTATCTAGGCCCAAATTTACTGCTCACAGCTTATCTGAACGAGCTGAGCTCATGGTGTAGAACTACAGCTTGGTCCATGGCTTCAAAGCTGTACAACTATAGGACGGACCCTCAAAGGGTTAAGCAATGGGCCAGCTGATTACCTAGGTCACTTGCCTGCTGTCCACATGATCAGTCGTTCTTGGGCAAACTAATCCTAATGCTTAGTCTGTTTAACCCTTGACTGTTTTGGTCGTATATATGTCTTACAAGCCACCGTTTTTGATGTATGTATACTCATAAATTTTAGCGGCTTCAAATCGAGCAGGAGAAACCTGGTAGGCCCACATGTGAGAATGGGTCTGTGTGGTCAGTGTGCACCATATAAAAAAGATCTTGCAGTATGCAGTGCATGATGAGAAAAAAACGCCAACAGTTTTTTTTTTAATTAAAATGCCGACTTTGTGGTCTATTTTCGTATAGTATTTATGGTTGTATTCTCGTTTTCTTGGTCTCATTTGATAGAATGGAAAACATATTATAGAAATAGAGGTGGTTTTGATTGGTTGTACTATGAAAAGAACTTTGAAATGGAGTTCAAAGTAGGGGAAATGTTTGATTTTTGCCGATGTTCCAAAGTAAACAAATGTCATTTTCCAATAAATGTCCAAGTAGCCATTCTGATATGCAGTCATGAATGGGTTGACATTATTTATAAAATTATAACAATATTGCAGTAGTCTGCATAACAGTAAATCTTCTATTTTTTGTTTGAATAAAAATTCAAAATAGAAAGCAAGAGTAATATCAGAGGGGCCTGGAGATGTGACTGATGAACAAATAAAATGTTACTGTAGAGCCAGGAATGCCTGCATTGTTCATTCTGGACCCTATTTTGGAAATTCGTATTTTTTAATTTTCGTGAAATTGGCCGAATTGCAAGTTTCTGACCACGTTATTGGGTAGTCGAAATCGGTAAATGGGCAGTTTCTTGTACTCGATCGATAGAAAAAAATGGAGTTCTAAAGAAATAGCCGAGTTTGGTTGACTGGAATAATGGAATTAGCCGAAAATAGGGCTCGAAGTGGGCAAAATCACCGATTCGTAAATGTCGCCGCGTTCGCTAACTTTGAGAGAGCGTAATTGTCAGTTTTCCATCAAATTTTGTTCTTTTGGTGTCATTACAATCAGGAAAAGATTCTCTATCATTTCAAAAGAAATTTTTTTTTTTTTATTTTGCGACACCAGGAGACACCTCAGGTTTTGGGGTTGCGACAGTCGAGGGGTTAATAACTGAGCATAGATCTGTTTGTAAGATTTCTTAAATGTACAAAATGGGAGGTAGCTAAAGGCACAACAGTACAATTTTAAGTCTTTATTAATAATTCAAACTGATGCTCTGATTCCTGTCT